GGCGCATAGAATTTGGCATCAGAGCCCACCCCCCACCCCCGCCCCAACTTGACGCTCCACAGAGGCCGAAGGCCTTGGGTGGTCTGCATTTTCCTCTCAGAGCCTCCCAATTTTTCATCTGTAAAGTGGGAGCAATCTCTCCTCCAGAGCATGTTCATGGTGGTTAAATCAGGATGGGTGAACAGCCCCTGGCATGATGCCTAGTGCCCCGCCGGTGCTGCTGGTGCTGATAACCACAGCTGCTCCTCAGCTCTCTCATAAAGACTGGTGAGAATCTTCTACCTTGAGGGTCCCTATGGGATGCATGGCAGGCTCAGCCTTGCAGAAGTCCTGACATCACTGGAGGCTAAAGGAAATGGCTTCGAGAGAAATAAATGCTTAAGGTCACCCGAAGGTTAGACATTGAAGACTGATTCATCACTCTTCTTTTTGAAAAAGTTTGGCAGGAGAAAGGAGATCAGAGGGTAAAACGCCAGTCCAGGAATCCAAAGATCTCAAGTCCCAACACTGGCTTTTTGTTTGCTGAGTATCCTGAGCCCCTGCCTTCTGACCTTAGACTCCCCATTTATCCCAAACTTCTACAGTTTCTTGGGCTTCTTTCCTTTTTAATCCACAATTGTGTTCAAATGAAAATATTAGAATGTGTACAAAATAATAAAAATGAAGATGTCGTGGATCCTGCTTTCTCCCCAGTCTCCTTTGAACTGGAGACCACGTGGCTGTGGGAAAAGGGAGGGGTGGGTGACACCTGGATTGTGCCGCTTCAGGATTCTCCTCCCACAGGGAATGCCCTGCCTCAGAATGGCAGTAGCTGCATGCCATCCCTCTGCCAATGTTGACCAAGGGCCTGTTGCAGACCAAGACCAGGGCTGGAGCACCCTGTTGAGGAAGGGCATGCAGGTGTGGGTTAAAAGTTGTGGGTCATCCAGCATGCTAGCGTGTGGGAGAAGAGATCCTGAAACTGGCATTTGGTGGCTTCCTGGGAGTGGGGGAGCTCTCAGTGGGCCTTGGGACACCCAGAATTGGGATAGGGATGGTGGGGTGTAGGGGTGTGAGATCCTCAGTGCTGAGTTCTGAGCCTGGGCATTTGCCTGCTGTGGCACTCCTAGGAGAGTTAGGATTTGAACCCAGGGCTGCCTGGTTTCAGGGGTCTTTCTTCCACCACCCTGTGAGTTGGGGTGGGGCATAGTATTAGCCTGTTTTCACCTGTCAGTGGTGATATTTCTGTCTTCATCAGTGGTTTGATAAGTGGCCAAGTTAAAAATCTGGCAAAGCAGATACACAAGGAGCCAGTTTCACCCAAAAGCTAAATTCAGAAGTGGTGGCTTTTCTTTGTTTTGCCAGAGTCTCCTACCCTGTGGAGATAAGGAAGATCCAGGTCCCTTCTTTAGGTCTGGTGGGTGGAGTCCAGATGGGTATTCCCAACTGCTTGAAGCAAAAGCTGAAGACTCTCACAGCAAGGGCAAAGGTCTGATGAGCATGGGATATTCTAGAAGGTAGCCCTCCACCCCTAAAAAAGACTTCTACCAAAAAGCCACAAATTGTGGGGTTTGAACTCTTTCTCTAAGTCATCCCCAACTATTCCATCAGTTGGCCCATAAATATATGCTGCGTGAAAGGACTTCCATCACTGTGTGTCAGCTCCAGACACGGGCTCATGGGATAGGTACCATGTTGGCTCAGTTGAGGGTGACTTCCCATCCTTTACTGCTTCGGCAAGCCCTTGTGGAGTGAACCCTGCCGGATTCCACGATGAATAGGTTGACTGCAGCCCTCTAGGGAAGGAGCTTCCTGTGTGAGGAAACTGAGGCTATAGGCAGGGCCACCGCGCCTCCCAGCTCCAGGTAAAGGGGAGCAGCTCCTGTCCTTCAACCCCCAACTCCTGATTCCCAAGTCCAAGTCCTACAGTGATGGAGTGTAGTGATAGGGGTAGGTGGGAGTGCAGATACGTGACTGGTCTTGGTGCCACCATACACCCCCCCTGCATCTGGCATCCACCACACTGAGCACCCGTTTATCTGGCCAGATGGGCCCCCATCCATTCCACTGCAGGTGGTGTTCTCTCTACCCTATGCATTCTTACTACTCCTCCCCACCGGGCAGGCTCCCCTGAAGTCCTTCCAACTCCCTTGTCACCTCCTGGCACAATTAGATGCCTCTCCTTCCAGGGGCCCCACGTGGCTTCTCTCACCCTCCCACCCCCCATTGAAGCTCAGACCACATGAGTCTCCCCACTGGACTTGTTCCGTGATGTCAGAACTGGGGCTTGTTTCATTTGGGGCCCAGTGTATGGGTCACCGATGCAGTGGGTCCTGATGCAGCAACCTGCTCAGGTAGAAGTGGATACAGCCCAGTGCGCGGGGTCAGCAGGGTTTCTAGAGCAGAGTTTGACCTCTTGCCTTGCCCATAGCAAAATCCAGGAATGGGAGTTGTCCTTGATCACAGCAGCCCCCACTCCCAGGAGGCTCCAGCTGCTCAGCAAGGGCCCCCTGCTGTCTCAACCTGGAAGATTTCTGGAACATCGGAGCCAGACTGAAAGCAGGACCTGTAATAGTAGTACTTACCTCTCTCAGCCTTTCCGCAGCGGCCAGGATTTTCACCAGATTCAAGGATTGTCTGTATTATTTTTCATTTTATTTAAATTGCTTTGTTCTAAGTCATATGAAACCACAGGGCTTGTAAAAAGTTTTTCTTTTCAAATAGATGATACAGTCACATGATTCAAAATTCAAAAGTGTGCAAAAGGGTATTAAAATGAACAGTGTGCCTTCCACTCTGTAGCCACCCACATCCCGGGGACAACATTGCCTGTCTGGTGCTTTCTTTTCTTTTTTTTAAAGATTTATTTATACATACAAGAACTGGGGTGTAGGCCAGAAGTGCGGGGGTTGAGAGGATTCACCAGAGACAGAGTGGGGAGCAGAACAGCCAAATTGATGGAAATACACTGCTGAGGGGAGCAGTGGGAGAGACAGGAGAGGGTCTGCTGTGCCATGTGGGTAGCTCCCTGGCAGGGGATCCAACTCATGAGGCGCAGTGGCTGGTGACAGCTTGAAAGCGCTGAGACTTTAACTCCTGTGCCACCAGGGAGGCCCAGGTGCTTTCTTTGAAGTTCATGGATGCGTATATATTGCCCTCCCCACCCCAGTCACACACAACACACACTGCTCAGGAGCTCGCTTTTTACTTAATAGAATTTGGAGAATTTCCCAAATCATTACATAAAGAGCCTTCTCTTTGATGCATTCCATTATCTAGCTATGCCACATTTAATTAAATCATAGCTTGTCTAGCCTGTGCTAGAAGACTATGTATTGTTCATATTCTCAACAACCCAAAGACCACCCCGAGCTAGCACAGGAGACTCATCAGGCAGAAGGCCCCGTGGTGGGGTGGGGGAGCCCAGCAGCCGCCGTAGAGCTCCTGTCGATCAATGGCTTTAGTGACATCTTCCCTATCCGGTGGTCCCTGTGAGCTGGGCTTGCCTGCTGGCGCTGGTCATCCAGGTGCTCACCACCCACTCGGCTGCAGCCCTGGGTCCAGAGGCTCCGTAGGGAGTTGAGAGAAGGGAGGCACAGGTGGGCATGTTTTTGAGCTTGGCGGTGAAGGACAGGGTTTAAAGGAGAGCAGCCCCACGTGCAGGGATGAATGCCCAGTTTGGCCAGGAGGGGCTAGGTGGCTGGGTGGGACCCAGCACTCCCCTGGGGCTCCTTCCTCTTTCTCAGCCTGCGATGTAAGAACCCTGGCTTTTGCAACTGCTGGCCTGCCGGCTGCTTGAGAATGAAAAGGCCATATTCAGAACATGCCTGATTAACAGCAAAGCCCAGTGCAGTCTTGAGGATCTTCGAGTCAGGGCAGCTTCTGGGTTCCATGGGGAAAGCGAGACCTGCAGCAAGGCCAGGCCTCTCTCCCGTGTCCAGCCCCTGCGGGTGCCATGAGCCCTGTTGTTTCTTTGGCCTCCCTCCCTAGTGCCTTTCTTTCACAACCAGGTAAGGGCCTGCTGTTGTCACATTTCTTGGCTTCTTCATTTTCAAAGTCAGAAAATGTCCTTTCTTCCTCCCTTGCTCACACAGGGCCCTCCTGCCTGCTGGCCTCCTCTTTTCTGTCTGCTGCCTTCATGCCCTTGGCTTCCAGGGCCCTTTCCCCCCTAACCCCCCAGCCCCTTTCCTATTGGAAGCAGCTTGGCCCAACTCTTACTCGCCCTGTGTGGTGTACTTTTCCAGAACACATTCCTGGCTGGTCTGTCACCTGTGCCCAAATAACCCTGGGAAGCTTGTGGTCTGGGGTGGTCACCGTGAAGGATGGGGTGGGAGTCAGAGGCCCCAGCTCTGCAGCCTGTCTCTGCTGTAGACCTCGAAGTGAGCTGGAACTCATGTCTGCCTCCCAGCCTCAGATGCCTCCCTGTGAGGAGAGGGAGGGGACAAAGGAGGGCGAGACCACATCTCCAGTGCCTGCAAATGGGGGGCCGGGAAGGAGTGCAGAAGGGTGACTTAGCACACCATTTCACAGAGCAAGTGGGCAGATGCACTGGAATTAGGAGCCAGCACCCCAAATCCAGGGTGCCCCCCCCCGATTTCTGCTGCTTCTCCCACATAATTTAAGCTTCCCTTGCATAGGGGGATTGGTTCCTAGACCCCTCTAATCAGAGAACCCGGAGCCGCCTGGACCCCAGGCAGGGCCCCACCAGGGGAGTGAGACCCCAGAGAATGCCAAGATCTGTTCCCTCTAGCCCCAACCTGGGTGCAAAGAGAAAGAGAAGACCCCAGTTACCCTCTCTCCCCAGGAAGGAGTCCGGCCAGCCCAGTGTTTAGAAGTCAGCAGGGCTGGTTCGGTCACCTGAGGTCAGGAAGTGGCCAGGTTTCCTGGGAGAAGGACTGGTATGGTGCCAGGAGTCGCATGAGATAACTGAACAAGGGGACCTGCCAGCCCAGGTTCTGCCAGGGCTGGCAGGTAACCTGGGCCCAGACATGCCTGTAACCATGTGGTTTCTTTCTCTGCAGAAGCTGACGGGCCGCCTCTTGATGGCCGTGGGAGGGGCAGTACTTGGCTCCCTGCAATTTGGCTACAACACTGGGGTCATCAATGCCCCCCAGAAGGTGAGTGCCGTTCCTTCCTTGGCTTCTCGACATCAGCACACTTACCCTGTGTCTTGAAGGCAGGGTTATTTACTTCAACTTAGTCATCTTGACCAACCTCTCACCCAACACTGATGTGTAATAGCCACAATTCCGCTCGGTAGAATGATGCTGCAGTGATGTGGCACCCAGGGGTGACAGAAAGCTTCCCTGGTGTTTATCTCACTTGCTTCTCTGAGGCAGGCAGGCAGCTTGCAGCCTCCAGTCCCATCCTGCAGGTGGGGAGAATGGTCACCCAGCCGACCAGAGATGGAACTGGTATCTAACACCAACCTGACTTGGGGTTCTCTCCTGCCAGGTGGTCCACGGGCCTGTGTTCATGCCCATTCCTTGTAAGGCGTCCTGTTCTGGGTTAAAATTGGTTCTTCTCCTGGCAGCCCTGTGCCAGTGAAAGCAAAAATGGCATCTTGCCCTAGGGAGCTGCAGGGGGTGGAGGACTGAGCTTACTTCATTCTCCCCACAATGCATCCCAGATCTGTCCTCACTTGTTCACCTGAATGTCAAGACTGGGAGGGACCCAGTGATCACCTCCACCCGGCCCGCCTGCCTTATGGAGGAGAGAGGAAGCGGGCAGGAAAGGGACTATAAAAGGCACTGCTCTCTTCCGGGCCTTTTGCATATGTTTGTGAGGTTGGGGGTGATTTCCATTGTATAGATCTGAAAACTGAGGTCCTGGGCAGATGAAATGATCCATGGGCTCAGAGTCATTCACAGCTAGTGAATGATGGAGTCTGAAACCAAGCTCTGTAGTTTCCACAATCTCAGGCTGTCTTGCTGACTAGCTACCTGGCCAGTTTAAAAGTCCCACCTTCCTGTGGAGCGTGAGGGGCATGCATGGTCCAGAAAGGTGAGGCTAGAGAGTGAGTGTGGCTAACTCCTGAGTAATCGGGGCCTGTTTTGGGGAGCTAGGCAATGTTGGGAGCCAGAGCTGGGCCTCCTCCAAATAGGCAGAGGGTGACTGTGAGGGCCACGCCCAAATCTGGGGAGCAGGTCACCAGGAAGGCTTGACCTGCTGAGTCACGATCAGCTGCAGAGGAGGTGACAGGATTTTTCCAGACTCATCTGAAATGGCTACCCTGGGCCTAGGCTTATAACAGCCCAAACCCTGCTTTTGCTGAGTGCTGTGAACAGCCCTGCCAAGGTGCGTGCCTCGAGCTGGTGCCCTTAGGGAGCCAGACTTACAGATGGCAAGTCTATACAGTCTTAGCACGAGGTCAGGTTCTCACTCAGTTGCACACAGGCCCCCCGGACACTCCCAGGGTCTGTTCAAACTGGACTGGGATACAGCTTGAGCACTGAGGTTTCAAAGTTCCCCAGGAGGTGCAGCCAAAGGTGAGTCCTGCTGGACTGAGTGATGTCTTGACTGATCACCTAGTAAGTTTATGGTGGAAATGGAACTAAGGGTCAGGCCAGAGGAGGTGTTCTCCAGAAACGGAACAGATTTGGGGTGAGCAGGCGACCCACCTGCAAAGGTAGGAATAAAATACCTAGAGGCAAGACGCCTGGTGTGCCACTGGTGTAGGCAGGGAGGCCACAAGGTAAGCCAGAGCCTGGCCACGTAGGGCCTTGTGAATAGATTTTATCTGGGAAACATCCAGTCCACCTGCATGTCATGACACAACCAAAATGGAGTGTAGGCTCCAACCCAAGGCCAAGTTGGGAGGATAGACATCACATGAGGACAATAGGAACACATTGGAGAGGACAGGTGGGATCAGATTTGCATTTTAGGGAAATGATTCAGGTAGCTGGTACAGTGGGGTGGGCCTGAGAATGAGAGACAAGAGACCAGGAAACTAGTGAGAAAGCTGCTTGCAATAGGGTAGAAAACAATAGGAAGAATGGGCAGCATTTGATTATGGGTTCAGTGTGTGGATAGGAGAGGAGGGTCCCACATGGCGCGCAGACCTCTCCTGCCACCCGCTGCTCCCCTCAGCAGTGTACTTCGGTCTTTCTGCCTGCTCTGCTCCCAACTCTGGCTCTGGTGAATTCTCTCGCCCTCCCGGGCTTCTGACTGTACCCAGTGCATGTATAAACAAAACAAAACAAACAAACAAACAAATAAATAAATAAAACATGCCTCTATTAAAAAAAAAATATCTCCCAGGTTCTGGCTTGGGGCCATGGGTTGTGGAGGAGCAGCAGGTATGGGAGGAGCTGATAGGTGGCAGGGGCAGGAACTGAGATTTGGTGTGACATATGCAAACATGCACAGGAAGCCCCTGGATGTGGGGGTCTGTTTCCCAGGAGGCTCGTCAGCTGGCAAAAGTCACTGGTCTCCAAATGGCAGCAGAGAAAGATCTCCTGGAGAGTCTATGGAGTCACAAGAGAAGTTTAGGGTCAAGCCCCAGAGAATATCCCCAGTGATAGAAGAGGATCCTAAGAAGGGAAAGAGCGGGCACCTCTAAACCAGGAGATGAGATTTTGACAAGACAGGGAGACTGGGTGCACCTGAGGGCAGGTTTGTTCATGGCCATGGCCTTAGTGGTACCTGTCCATCATGGTACCTAGTGGGTGGAGGAAGGGCGTGAGTAATGCTGTCAGGTGCCCATAAGGTCTCCCTGGACAAACAGCCACCTCTTTTTGAAGGTGAGAGATCTGATGGAAGCCTGTGGTGGAACAGGGGCAGAGGGGGTTGCCGCTGGGTAGTGTCATATGGGTAGATGTCTCCCTCCGGCGAGTTGTACCTGGCAGTGTAGACACAGCCCCTCCAAGAGCCATGGGAGGCACAATGGTGACGGAGGGGAATTTTTTTCCTTTTTTTTTTTTTTTTTTAAGATTTATTTATACAAGAACTAGGGTACAGGTCAGAGGCACAGGAGGGTGAGAGAATTTACCAGAGACAGAGCTGGGAGCAGAACAGGCAGATTGACTGCAAACACTGCTGAGAGGAGCAGCAGGCGAGACAGGAGAGGTCTGCCACACCATGTGGGTATCTCCCTGGTCGGCCAGGACTCGAACTCATGCTACAGAGGCTGTGGACAGTTTCATAGTGCTGCGCTCAACCCGCTGTGCCACTGGAGAGGCCCTCCTTTTTTTTTTTTTTTAAAGATTTATTTATTTATGCATATAAGAGCTGGGGCACAGGCCAGAGATGCAGGGGGGTGAGAGGATTCACTGGAGACAGAGTGGGGAGCAGAACAGGCAGACTGACTGAAATACACTGCTGAGGGGAGCAGCGGGTGAGACAGGAGAGGTCTGCTGCACCATGTGGCTTGTTCCCTGGCCGGGGATCTAACTCATGCTACAGTGGCTGCGGATAGCTTCATAGTGCTGTGTCTTAAACCCATGAGCCACCAGGGAGGCTCCTGGAGAGGAATTTTTTTAAATATGAAAACTTAATTTTTAAACATGTAGTAAGGAATCAACAGAGAAGAGGAGGGCAGGAAGGGGAGAGGCCCTCCAGGGGGCAGGTGGTGGTGGAACTGAGGCACAGGGCTTGCGTCCAGCCAGGAGGGATGGAGATACTTCTGAGGTTGTGCTTGTAGACAAATCCTGGGTGAAGTTCTCCAATTCTGGAGCTTCCAGTCTAACCAGAAATAGGCGAAAGGTGAGAACTGCCATGGGGGCTGGGTGGAGCCCACTGACCAACGCCTGGAGGCTGGAGCTCAGAGGACCCAGCTGAGCCTGAACTCACACACCTGCAGGAGGAGCACTATGGTGCCACCTGTCCAAAGGTGACTTTGGAAATTGACCTTTGAGGGCCAAAGCCAGGGACCAAGTGGCCAGAACTGACATCTCATACGTTGAAAGGTAGTGGCGTTTCCCGGGCATGCACTCAGGCCCTCACTCTGTTTACTTCTGCACTTCACAAACCCTTCTCGCAAGCTGACTGGGAGTTTGCCAACCAGGAGCAGATTTGGAGTGAGCAACTTGATGTGTGAAGAGGGGCGACAGAGGAGGACCCAGAGGGAGCTGTCAGTGCCTGGGCACACGGACGGCCTGGGGAGACCCTGAAGGCGCTGTTCTGGGCAGGCACTACCATTCCATTCTGCCAACACTTCCCTCCAACAAGGACTGTGCCAGGCACCGTCCTGAACAGTGGGAGGGATCTGGCTGTGAACACAATGGGCACATCCTGGCCCTCATGGAGCTGCCCAACCCAAGGTCTGAGCTGGGCCCTTCCCCACCCTCCAAAGACTCACCATCCAGAGGGGCAGAGGGCACCCCTGGTCAAAGAATCATTAACAGGGGGCTCTGGGTGCTGTGGGACAAAAGAGAAAGGAAGGAATAACGTTGGGGTAGGAGTGACGAGACAGGAGGAGCTTCTTGGCGTTGGCAGCAAGCTCGACCTAGAAGCGCCAGGCACTCCTCGGGAAGGAGGGGCAGGTATCCAGGCAGTGAGAACAGCCTGTGCGGCGATGTGGCTGCTCAGAGCCTCCCACTGGCATGGAATTGCCAGGCCCCGCCAGACACACTAACTCGTCTGCTCAGAGTACTCAGAGAAATTGCGCCGGCCTGGCCAGGCTGGCCTGCTCTTCGTAGGAATCCTGCCCCACCGAAGGTAAAGAAAGATGCCAGTGCTCCTGTTAATTACCAGAAGAGGCTTGGTTTCCACTATAAAACAGCCCCAGAGGGCTTCCTCCTGGAAGTAGTTATTTAATCATCACTAAATGTTTACAAAGCACCTCCCCATAAATTATCTCCTCACAGTAACCCTGCAGTGGGTGGAGCTGAGAATAATTCCCCCTCTACTGAAGGAGGAAATCAAGGTAGACGCCAGGCCCTTCCCCGCCCTCATTGTGTGCGTCATGACATTCATCCCTGTGACGTCCATCCTGGACTGTGACTGGACATTGCTGGTCCTTAAAGTCTCCCAGGGGAAGAGGAGGGGGAGATGAATCGGGCCACAGAAAGAGCCTAGTGAGTGAACAGAGACATCCTCAGCCCTAAACTGGGTGGGTCTGAGAACTGCCTCTTCCCTCCCCAAACGACTGAATTGCCAACCGAGATGACTAAAG